GTGAAATAAAAAGTTGAGCATGATTAATGACAAGTCGCACAAAAGCCTAGATATTCTTATTATTATTTGAAGTGTTCCACTCATATAGCATATCATTTTCAAGTCCTGTCAAGTGGGAATATTGAAGAAGATTTTAACAATGGAGACAATCACTTTAAATGCATCTCAACTACAGTGTGCTCAGACAGAGGGACATTCCTGTCTTTCTCAGATATATAGAGGGGTTGTTGCAAGCCTGGCTGCATGATTGCTGCTTTTTATCTCATGTGCTCTGTTGAACCAAGCTGCTTCCCATTATGAACACCTGTACTCCAGACCAGGCTGACTCAGTACATGACAGATTTTTCTGCTCTGCCATAGGAAGAAAAAAATAGTTTGGAAAAGTGTTTCTGTGTGTGAATTCTATCTTTTATTTGTACATGTCTATTCATAGCACTGCTTTTAAGAACATTGATTTAGTTATTACATATTTCTGTTTTAAAAAAGTGTCTAAGGAAAGGCTTTGGTGTCGTGTCATATCTATTGTGCCTTTATCTCAAAAAGCAACACAAGGACACAAATTTCATCTAATTATAAACATGAAAATTGATCATATGATAATAGGTGTGCTACATTTTTGGATGTGATGATATTTGGTTTACAAATATTGAATGCAAAAAAAACTCTCCCTTCCATGCAACAAATTCAGCAAAAATCTCATTGGGGTTCCCAAAAAAAGAGAATTAAAAAAGGGCTATTTCACCTCAATGCAAACCAAACTTATCAATGGATACAAGGTTATGGAGTGTATTCCAACTTATACAATACTGTAGAATCCAAAAATATTGTTTGGAAAGCGAGGAAACGTTTTCTTGCCTGCATTAGGAGGACCAGAGTGAGCGTGGAGAAAGAGCTCTTTATACTCTCCTCAGCATAGTGTGTAAACAATGACAGACAGTGGCATGTGGTTGGCTCAAGTTTACTTGTGAAAAGTGCTTGTGTTCAAATACCATGTAAGGCCAGGCTCATAGTAAGCTAGGGACCTGTTCTGTGCTTAAAATTTCTATCAAAGTAGCAAGAGTCTGTATACATTTTTTTTACCGTAAATATCTATTTGGAGCATAAAAGCTCCCATGTTTTAATGAACTATGCCTCAGATCAGACACAATGTACTGCATTGGGGTTTCGTATTATAGCTATTCAAAATGGTCCTGGTTAAAAAACCTGATTACATTTCCATCTAGACACTAGGACTTCACCTTAAGTCTGACAATAAGAACCCTTTTATTTTTTCATTCTTCTGAAATGCTGCTTATTCTTTATTTGCCATTTATTCAATAGCATCCAGGCATGAAAACAGAAGACAAAAGGAAATAATGATAATAGTGCAAACAGAAACTCATAGGGGGAGTAACAGACTCACCTGGACCCCTGTAAGGTTATGTTTGCACCTCAGTGCAGGGTTTATTTCTTGTCCCACAGCCAAAAAGCTGCTTTTAATAATTTGGCTGAGCTGTCGTTTTATGGATCCAACTAAACAGAAATACAGGCACAGCCGAACATTACTCTGCGCACTCAAATATTAATAAGTTATCTTGACGTGAAATAATACCCCATATAATTAAAATTAAATACATACTGACTGAAAACATAGAGGCATTAGGCTTTTAGTGGGGTCTGTATTTCAACATCAGGTCACGAAAGAACTTTGAATTAATATTTCTGCTCATACTGATACAATATCTTGTATCAGACATGTTAAAAATGTTCATTTTTATTCTTTCTTTTTTTTTTTTTTGCTTGCCTAATGGTAGTTATTCCAGACCTGGCCCTGAAATTGAACATTGGGCTTCGTACTAGTAACATAGAAACATTAAGCCCCTTTTTAATCTGTTTGAGGTTTTGCATTCCACAGCAAAAGCTGCTTTCCCCGACTTTTCATTTATAAAGACAGCAGATCGAATAATCAACTGGAAAATGACTCTGAAAAATGCACAAGCCCATATTAGCTCGTTATTGTTTTAATAGCATAATGGGATTTATGTAAGAAAAGAACTTTTCGGTATTTTACACAAAGGTTACATTTTTAGCTCTAATGTGTCCACCGAGTACAGCGTTTGAAGATTTTGATGGGTTGTGTCAAGAAAGTACTTGACCTGATATTTAACTGCTGAATTCTTTGATTTTAGTTATTACTTATAAATTGGCTGTTAAAAAAGCCTTTAATAAGTTAGGTTGACTATGGCTAAGCTGAGCCTATGTTACACCACACGTCTTCAGTGCTCAAGTTCTGAGAAGCAGAAACACAGTGTTATTAAGGTCGGCAGCTTCTCACTTAGGGGGAGGTCCTGCTTGAGTGCATTCTGGTCATTGTCACTATTGCTGTGAGGTTTCTTAATGGAAGTAGATGAATTCTTGATCTGAATTCACTTTGTTACTGACCAATTGACAAGTTTGCCTTGAGATGTCTGTTTGAAGAGCTCAGGGCAAAGGTCCTGTCAAAAATAGGTATGTGAATCTGTTTTGAATGGGGTAAACCACAGAAGCGCACTCTTCTTTGATCCCAGAGATGTTACTTAGTGTTGTATGGCCACCCGAAAAACAAAGTATGCCGTCTTTTCTATTCTTTGGATTTAAGTATCAGAACAAAGACTTTAAAGAAATACATCATCTAAAACTTTACAGGTTTTTAAATTGGATTGATGCTAACTTAAAAGTAATGTTGGACAGTTTCCCTCAATGAAATTGAATCAAGCAAAAAGGGAGAAGCTTTTTGGAGGAAAAGAACAACAAGTTTTGATTTAAGAGCTCATATAACCATTGCTAGCAACAATACATTGAAGTGGTTTTTGTTATCAGTTCTGTTTTATTTATTCTGTTTTTATTGGAATAATTATGATATACATGAATACATTTGAAATGATCCTTACTGGGTTTTTTTGTCAGACATAATATTACTTGAAAGTGTGGAATATAATGGATGCAGTATTAAGAATATATGACTCCACTGTGTAGGTCTAATTCAAGTGATAACAATGAAGTTTATGATTAAACTTTCAACAACTCAAGTTCTTTTTCAAGAAAGAAAAAACTGTGCTTGGATTGTTTTTGCTTAATCAGTGAAGTTGGAAAAGACAGTATTTCAGCTAAATAGGGTCTGACTTATACAATCACTTGTTGAAAAGGAACAGAAAAATAGATCCAAACTTATAATTGGTACTATACATGAGACAATAACTCTATTCTTCTCTCAACATGAATAGAAGATTTGGTTCAATCAATTGGTCAAATTGAGCTATAATTGCTAGTGACTAAACTGTCATGCACCTGTATATATTCTCCTGTTTTAATAGTTGTGCATGAGGTGAAAATAACTCCAGAACAGGATGGTTTACAGAAAAGATGGGCCACAGGTTGTTTGATGGCATAAAAAACTAAATAAATATATATACATAAAATGACAAGGCTGTAATACGGCGAGAGCTGTTAACCTGAATTTGTGTCAAGTTTTGCATGGAGGACATCATTTTTTTTAAATCATGCTTCAATACCCATTTAAAGCCTGTTACAAGAAAAAATTTGAAAGAAAATATTTTTTCCCAGTCTGAAGTCTTTATTTGGCCTTTTTTGGCTTTATTTGGATCAAATCTGAAAAGAATAAGTGAACACAGATTATATTTGAATATTTATCCTTCATACCATGCAGTAAATCACAAAATTGTTGTGTAGTTTTCTACCTTCTGTAATCAGATATATCTGATTGTGAGCAACCGGGTTTTGAGCAAAAATTTTACTTATAAAATGATGGAAAAGATATAAATGTAAAAGATTTCCAGAAATTATATGTATTACACATTATTTATATAGTATCACAGGGTTAAAAATACAAAACTGTAGAGCAAAAACACAGATTTTTTTTTGTACGTAATACCTTACAGATCATGTCCAAAAGCTTCTTTAAAAAAGTAGCTCCAATGAAAGACAGTTTCTTTAGTACTTTCATTTTTAAATCAATTGCAAGTGTTCTTCAGTTTTTTGTCTAAATTTTCTCGGTCCAACAGGAAATCAAACCTCACTATGCCCTGAGGCTAGCATCCATAGCTCTCGGCTGAGCATCTATTGCCTCAAAGTCAAAAGTAAAAAAGAAGCCATCGGATTTTTCTTTGGTCCTCCTGGACATTCATAAGATCCGTTGGATCCAGCTCTTAAAGTGACTGCCCGTGCCCTATGAACCATTCAAAAATTAGATGTAGTATGAAACCCCCTCTGCCCAGACATCAATTCCTTCCAGATAAAAAGATCATCTTTCTGTCACTGTGCATTGGGAGCAGCATCTGATACTAGTTGGCTGGAAGTTAATCTGGCTGGCTGTAAAATGATGAGATGGCTGATTGAAAGAGTATTAAAGTATTGAATAAGAAACCCCTTAATACTAAGACTCACAAATTTCTCAGATAGGAAAGTGATTTATAGCTGCTGTTTTTATTGGAATAATTATGATATACATGAATACATTTGAAATGATTCTTACTGGGTTTTTTTTGTCAGACATATTATTATTTGAAAGTGTGGAATATAATGGATGCAGTATTAAGAATATATGACTCCACTGTGTAGGTCTAATTCAAGTGATAACAATGAAGTTTATGATTAAACTTTCAACAACTCAAGTTCTTTTTCAAGAAAGAAAAAACTGTGCTTGGATTGTTTTTGCTTAATCAGTGAAACCAGGCAGGACTGGGAGGGGTTCTTACATTAGTGTGGGTACAGGTCTCTGCCAGGTTCAGACCTGGTTTACAGCTTCTGTTCATATCATGTTCACTGCTTGTGGTGTTAGGGTAAAGTGGTTTAAATATGGACTAAGGTGGTCTTCCCTGTTAAAGACTGGTTATTTTTGGGATATATTAATCTAATTAATGTGTATGATACCATTTTGCCGCCATGACAACTTTTTTTAAGTCACTGTTAACTTTGTTCATTCGTTTATTTTCCCTCGTTTCAACAGATGCACCAGGGACACGTTATTGGGGGCATTAAAGATCCGATGGGTGGACCTGCAGTAGTATTTCCAGCCCCGTGATTTGCTGGTTAACTGTCATTTCGCTCTAATCGCAGCTCTGGTTCGTGGAGCTTGTCCAGCCCTCCCGTCCAAGGACGCACGGAGTGAAGCGACTGTACTGCGTGCGGTTTGGTTAAAGCCCGAATACCTTCACTGTGAAGGCTGGGCGCTGGGAAGGAGGATCGGGGCCTCGTTGGAGCTGAGAGAAGAGGCTTAAACTCCCCACCTATGGCTCTTTTGTAGGACGGTTTCTATCTTCACTTGGGATTGTGGAAGGGACGTCATTAAAAGTCATCTGAAGCCGCACAGAGGTTTTATTCACTTGTGGGCGTCCGATCATGGAGATGCAAAGGTGGTCCACAAGGTGGAAAACGAAAAGATGGTTTATGGATTCCACTGTAACTGCATTCATCACTTTAACCCTGGTTCTACAGGCTGCTAATGTGAAAGCAGGTAAGATGAAAAGGGACAAAATATTTTACCAACTTGAAGTGGCTGGAAAGGCACGCGGCGCCGCTCGGATGGGAAAGTCAGAAACTCATAGGGGGAGTAACAGACTCACCTGGACCCCTGTAAGGTTATGTTTGCACCTCAGTGCAGGGTTTATTTCTTGTCCCACAGCCAAAAAGCTGCTTTTAATAATTTGGCTGAGCTGTCGTTTTATGGATCCAACTAAACAGAAATACAGGCACAGCCGAACATTACTCTGCGCACTCATCACGCTGTGAAAACTAAAGCTCCACCTTAACTTTATACTTTTACAGTGTATGCAGTACTGACGAAATCCCATGATTTGAGTACATTTTGTTGTCTCAATACCTTTATCCATTGCAGTACATTTGATCACTCGCTCCTTTACGCATGAATGGATGGTGCCTGCCCTGAGATGAAACACGTCGCGTAATTAAATTGATCCATGGGTGATAGAATATGCTTCTTAAGATCGGGGGAAAGAGCAGTATCTCGGTTTTTTGTAAGATTCACTCAGGCTCAAAGAGACCCCTTTGTTCGAGCTGTGGTCCGTTAGGTGGATATGAACACGGTTAGCGGGGTGGATTTCGTCTGCCAGATGACACTGGACATTGGTCAGACCCTGGAATCTGACATCTTACGCACCTACTGAATTGCAAAAAAGAAAAAAAAGAAAAAACTGATTACACTCGTGGAATCTTGTGTTTGTGGTCATTCTGAAGGCACACTGAATTGTGAGGTAGAAATAAGGGCTCTGTAATGTCAGTATTTGTCAGTATTTTCATAAGTCTGAATGCTTTTTTGTCACCCAAGTGGGGATATGGACTCAGGTGGACATAAGATCAACGTTATATAGAAAGGCACAAAAGGCTTTGCAGACTTCACGGTACCAAAATTAATGTGACAATAAATATGTGGTTTGTGTTACAGTTATACACATGTCTGAGCAGATCTCAGCCCTGTCAGGACAGAGTGCAAGGCTCTTGTGTTAGGGGGCTAAAAAGTGGTCGGGCAGGTTCACCCTATCACCAGACTGCCCTGGTCCACACCAAAGCCCAATAGCTGGCTTTTGCATCCACCCCCAACTCCTTAACTTTGCACTTAGATGTTGGTCGGCTGCAGGACAAGGCTGAGTTGTGTGATTTGTGGGAATGCTTCCCCTCTAAGTACTGAGCAGTTATTTGATGATGGTCCTTGTTGCACTTCCCTATGATTTCGGAGCCTTCAAAGAACAGGCCCACATATAGGCTGAATCTGCAGCCTTAATGGCCACAAGTCAATGATTTAAGATTATTTAGGCCTCTTACACTTGCCTGTAGGTGTCTATCTAAGCATCTGTTCTTTAATACAGATGGATGTAGAGATTAAGGATTTTCACAAAAAACTGTTGATTCAGCTGTATTGGGTTTGGTCAGGTGACTTTTCTTTTTACCCCGATAGTGAAATTGAAATAGGAAATCACCAAAAAAGCGGACTTAATGGAAACTTATTGATGTTCAGGAGTAAATTCTTTTGTTTATCCATTTGTATTGATTTACCTTCTGATGCTGAGCCAGCTGCTTTCATTTGTGTCCCCAAATATTACACCCTGACTTTTGGGAGTTGACTGAAATTGCATTTCACTCAAAAATCGCACTTTTCCCGTGTTCGTCAACTCCGTGTCCTTATGTAAATTTGAAGTATTCTCCTGCAGGCTCTTTCTCCTGTGGTCTTTTTGAGTTTCTTTTGAGCTCTTTATAGCAGTCAGAGCTGCGTCTGCAGGGTGCCCTCTTCATCTAGCAGTGTACAGACACGTTTTCTCAGCCCCCGGGGCGCAGGCTCAGATGTGCATTCCAACAGACAAAGCTAGCATTTTCAGACCCTTCAGCCTAATATGCTTGAGTGCAAAATTTTGCTCTACGGTAAACATGAGTCTGCACAAGCTCTGATCAATTTAAAAGGACATCCTTGTCATCAGAGTAAATCCAACTTTACAACTTGCATAGATAGTGTCAAATTGAAGCTCAAAGAGGAAATTCACAGTTGTCCCCAAAAAGCATGAAATGCTTCAAATTAGGGGGGAAAAAGAAATAAGAGATAGGGGTAGGGGTATGTGTTTTTACAGTCTATGTGGTCTGACTTTTGCATGAAAGCCTACAGTGAAATTAATTAATATGAGGAAAAGCTAAGTCGGAGAGAGTAGTGGGAAGGAATGCTTTGAAAAACTCGGTAGGTCTAGGTGAAGTTTCCTTGGTATGACACCAGCATAAAGCCGTCTTGTTTTAGCCGGCAGCGTGGTGGAAGTTAAAGGAAGCAAAGGGGGGGACATATGGAGAGGGGGGGAAGGGGAGAGAGAGAGAGACATCCTGACTGAAGATGTTATTAGAGTCTCAGGGAGCTTCAGGTGAAAAGGTTCCTCCTCTATTCACCTGCCCATTTGACATTTCTGTACAGATACAAGTGACATTCATGATGTCACTTGGTTTGAGTCAAGTTTGTAGTACATAATTGATGTGCTCAGACAGATATTCTGGCCTAAGCCAGCAAAATGTTATCTCTTGGAACACAAAGTTGTGGTAATCAAATCAGGTGATATCAAATGAGTGGTGGGGTTTTTAAGGTTTTGGGTCCTTTTGCTCCTTCCATAATTGTATTCCGCCACAATTTGCATCTTTATATACAGTACATAGGGAATAATCCATTCATCTGAGCCTTCCATGTCCTCTGAGTTCTTGTGACAGCTATGTGGTCTGTTTGCTCAGGCCTGCGGACAAATACATCGTCTCATCAGATGCAGGCGCACACTCATTGGTGCACCTCTGCGAATTGTCCTTTGTTGACGTTTTCTCAGCACCTCTGCGCGAGGGTCGCAACTTGGCCAAAGTGCCATATCTGGAACATATGAGTGCTGGAGTTTGGGCCGAAAGCTGCTCTGCAGAAACTCACAATGAAGTCCTCAGTTTGCTTTCCAAAATAAGTAAATGGTTTGTGCTCACATGCTACAGAATCAGCCTTGTTTTATCCAGGTGTGGCATTGATGCAGCGTGCCAGCTGATTCCACTCTCAACATTTTTTCCACACATTAGTTTTGTTTACCTTCCACAGTGTCATCTGTTGCGATGCGGATGAGTTTAATTGTGGTGACTTGGCACATGGGGCTCATTTACTCCTGTGGAGCCTGATTTTGCAACATGAAGAAGCATAATTTATTTTAAAAGACCCAACAGAGTTTTTCATTTTCACTGTATGATATTTGGAAGTGCCATTTTAAGGATTGCACAAAAATGAACCAGACTGTTTAAATTAGATATAAGAAAATTCACTTAATGTTGAAATTTGAAAAAATTGATGTATTCATGAACTAAAGCAATGTTTGCGTAGTCATCACAACATATTTTCTGTTGGTTGTGGGTGTATTGGGACATTGGAACTTGCAGTAGCTATATATTGCCTGATATTTCTTTATTCATTCTAAGTAAGCCCTTCCTTTTATATTGGTTTTGAAAGGGGCTTTGTTAACATTACCCACTTATTATTATTCATTAAACCTTTGAATGAATCTGATGTGTTAAGAATGGAATAACATTTAAATGACCTTTGGTACTGAAGTGACTTTTTTTTCATTAATAGCAGAAGGTAATTACTTTTGCCTCCCCAAAAGCTAATATTGTGCACTGAGAGGATGTTCGAACAAGGATGGATAACTGCAGTGCTTTCCCATGCAGTGTTGTGGGGACCAACACAGGCTCCTTTATGTAAAGTTAATCGGTTTTAATAGCCTTATCAAAGTAAACCTATCCCGTGCGATAGAACGAGAACTTTGTTGGCACTTTGCTTGTTATTGTGTTTTACAAAGACATTTCCTGTGGAGTTATGCCAGTACGGCATTTCCTAACTTAACTATTTAGAAATTACCAGAGCATTCTACAGAACTCTAGAGTGCTATCAAATCAAAGGGAAAATTAAACCTGAGGGGCCCCCACAACTGCTGCACGTTTACCAGAAAAGCTCACAAACTACACAAATCTGAAAACTGAAAAAAAAAGTCATCCAACCAAGTTTGGAAAACCAGTTTTCAATGGTTTTTCACGTACCACGTCACAGGTCTGTGATACAGAAAGCAAAATAGGTTGTGGAACAAACATCCACCTGAAAACAGCTCAAGGATCTGACTTATGTTTTATTTGCTCTTCGAACAGTGGAACCAGTGGATGTCCTAAAAGTATTAGCTTTTCATACTTACCCTGAAGGAGTGACAAAAACATCAGGATTTTGTACAAACCGAAGAGCATCATCACCAGACTCAGCTTACAAAGTTGGCAAGCAGATCCAGATCAGCGCCCCCACCACACAGTTATTCCCTGGTAAGACAAATCTCAGTTTCTTCCACAATATTTGAAATAGTATTTTGGGTGTATCTTTATTTTAATTTAATGCATACCACAAAGATTTACATTTGTATTTACAATAAAGCATTGTGATCATACTTTTGATCATAAGTCAAACCACCACACCTCACTAGGGTACAAATAGTAAATCAAATTGCTTTCTTTTGCCTTGATTTTTTAAAATGAAATCTTAGTCATCAAATCTCTAAATAATCCACCTCTCTGTATCCTTTCTGTTCTTTCACGTTTGTAGGTGGTGTTTTTCCTGAGGACTTCTCCATCCTGACCACAGTGCGCCCCAAGTCTGGCCTCCAGTCCTTCTTGCTCTCCATCTACAATGAGCAGGGTGTCCAGCAGCTGGGTGTGGAGGTTGGACGCTCACCTGTCTTCTTGTATGAGGATCAGACAGGCAAGCCGGCCCCAGAGGACTACCCCCTGTTCCGTAGTCTCAACCTTGCTGATGGAAAGTACGTCCAATCACAAACATGTCGCCCTCTAAAACACAAAATTTTCCCGAGTGCAAAACATGAAGAAGAGTTGTGTTATAAAGAAACTAACATGTGATCCGTGGTGTAAAGATGTGTTTGGTATTAATGCTGTGGGTGAACTTTAAACAATTCAATGTTAATCAGTATATATTTATTAGTAGTTAAGCATGAACCAAACATCAGCGTTTCCACAAAGCTATTTCTCTTTAGAAAAGCAAGAAAACAATTTTGATCTTCAGTTTAGCGCACCACAGGTGCTGATCAGCGGATTATCCATCTCCTCAGGGGTCTGTGGGCACAGAGACCGGTCAGAGACAGAGAGACACTGGATTATGAGCGCACAGCAGAGCTGTTACGGGCAACCTGACCTCATCCATGAACTCACTGCCTCTGTTATTTTAAAGAGGGTGGGGGGCGAAGGAGGAAGCAGGGAATGGAGGCAACTGTAAATGTCCTTTTTGCCCCTCAGATTACCTCAACCAACCAAAAACAGTGCTTCTAACCTTTCAACATGAAGCTGATTATCTGCTCCTAGGTTCAGAAACTGCTGGATTCTCATTCCATTGTGTATCTGACATGAGCACCTACACAGCGTGAAGGGCTGCTTAGGAAAAAAAAAATTGCAGTTAGTTTTTTCTTTGTTTGTCTTTTAGCGGAAGTGAGAATCTGGTCCCAATTAGTTTGATGTCTAATGAGTTTTGGATGAGGTTCAGTTTGTATTTTGTGGCTACATAATATAAGCGTCCTTGATAATTCCTTAAAAGTCTAATGCCAACACTAACTTTTCAACAAATGGAAAGCCTGACAGCTCTGTGTCAGTTTGAACACGGTTCCGTTCTGTGTGTGCGTTTTGTGAATGCCTGTGTTTGGAACACTGCTATCAGATAAGTATTTTCAGCACTTCTTGGTCTGTCTCAATCCTCTGTGTACTATCTTTAATCCTCTGCTACTGTGAAGGTGGCACTCCCATGAAAGAGATATTGAATAAGTGAATGACAAAAATTGCTTGTTTTCCAAGTTCGTCAATCAGAATGGTCACATGTCCTTGAGCCAGATACTGAACCCCTTGTTGCCTCATACTTGTCTATTATGTATGTAAGTGTTTTTTAGAGAAGAGAAAGTACCCTTTAGTCTAATACTGGCTGAATGGGTGAATGTAGCTGGTGGTGTAGAAGACATTTGAATGATCAACTAGAAAAGAGAAGAGCTATTCCACTGTACATTTTATATTAGAAATGTGACTAGAGCTGTGACAGATTTTTAGTGAGGTGTTATAATTTATATGACTATTTTAATCTCAGTACAGCTTTGAACATTTTGACCAAAAAAAGATTGACTTTATATATTTGATATATTAAATATTATATATTCATTATATTATTATATTATTATATTATTATATATTGATATATTATATATTAAATTATTGTATATTGTGGTCTTTGTACTTTGCATTCGTGATAGAAACTGTTTAAACCCACTTAAGCAAGCATTCCCCTGCCTGCCATATAAGGGTAGAACTTAACCCCTTTCCTGAAGTTTTAAAAACAGATCAAATCAAATCTCCATTATCTGCCCTGGAATCTGAAGGCATGATCTAGTCATTTTCAGATGTAACTTAAAACATTTTCAAATTTTGAATTCTGATTTCAATGATTTATTAAAAATCGTAAGCGTTACTTGTACAATAATGTCTCTCATGCTCCCACCTTTAACCCCACAATTCCGGGTCTCATCTTCCACCTCAGAACAGTGTTTGATTGTGTGTCTCCTCTGCTTGCAAAGCAGGCCTTCCTGGGTCTTGACACACACTTTCCACAATGTTCATCATGTCTGTCATTGCTGAGTAACCCAGAAGGAGGATTAAGTTTGGAGTTTAATGAGTGTAATCCTGTGTTAAACAGGGCCAAAGTGTGGGGGTAAGAATGTGGTTCGCTGCTGCTTGGTATGCAATAGCTCTTAAGTGCAGAGGCAAATGGTCTAGGGGCAAGGGAGGTGTCAGACTCACGTGTGACCCTGGTTTAACCCTTTGCATCTTGCCCATCTATTGATCAAAATGTGTTCTTGACTTAAAAACATGGGAATTTAATCATACCTGATATCATTATTTAAGGAAAATCTTTTTGGTATCTGCAAACAGTCATCTCCTTTAACAGTTGACTGGAGCTGAGCATCTTCTCGGAGGAACTTTGGCTCATTCCTGTGTACAGATCTGCTTCTGTTCTGTGAAGTCGGTGCGTTTCTTCACATGAATTGTTCACTTCTGGCACACCATTTCTACAGGATTAGAACAGGATTTAGAGTTGATTGTTCCGAAACATTAACTTTATACTTCTTTAACCCTTGTTTGGTAAAACCACACAAGTTGTCTCACTCCATGACCCACTTTTTGCTTATTTTTATCCATGAGTCTCCAGGCTGGTCTGCATGATCTGTGGCAAACAGGAGTAAAGCTGCAATGATGTTTTGGCTCTCTCTCAATATTCTGACAGAAAACCCATGAACATTAACATAAGGAATTATTAGAAGGGCCTTAGAGGCTTAAGGTTCCACTAAGTTGTTTGCTGGCTTTTACAGACCTTTCTGTTTGAGTCTATAAGGTCAGACATTCCTGAAGAGGGTCAAAATGGTCTTCGTCCTTTTGAACACAAGTCCAAATTTAGTTTTAATGAGCATCAACAACTATTTTCTGATGTTTCTGATGCTACCACTATGGATCTATGAATCAAAATGTACCCACCTGTACTTGTTTGAAAAGACCATTTGAATAGCACGATAGAAAATACTGTTTGCTGTGTGATCGCGACTGAAGACAAGCAACACACTAGTTGATAAGAATACTTAAGTGTCTGCGTCGTATTGCGTTAATGGTCGACCACACATTTTGTTTTGTTTTTTCTTACGACAATGACCAGGCAGCAACAACTATTTGTTGTTTTTTCTTCAATGTGATCTCTGCTTGTCCTGACTTTAAACAGGTGGCACCGTGTGGCCATCAGCGTGGAAAAGACGATGGTCACTTTCATTGTCGACTGTAAGAAGAAGATCACCAAGCCTCTCCTCAGAGGTGACTTTGCATCGATCAGCACCAGTGGCATCACTGTGTTCGGCACCAGGCTTCTGGATGAGGAGGTTTTCCAGGTAAAGTTTATTGTTAGTAAATATTTAATGATTGTAAATGTTAGTAGTGAGTTATTTGCTCTTCAAGTGGTAAAGAGTCGTAGATTTCTTTTGGTAATTTATTTTATTTTCACCATTCGGCCCTTAGCATAACTTAACTTGATTTCTTTCCTTTTTTGAATTAGGATTAGTTGTTTTTCTATGAGTACATGTATGTTTTGGGTTTTAAAGATACGTTAAGTTTCCACTGAGGCTCATCTTTTTAGGAGAAATTGGATGTACACAAATGGATTAAACTCTCCGGAGTGAGGGTTTGTTAGAGTTTGGTCATGAGTGTTGTGTCCTATATTGGCTCTGTTTTTAAGACAAAGTTCATGTGAAGCTTAATGCAGGGGGCAAATCAGGCAGATCTAAACAGAATTAATTGATAAATTGCTTTTCTATTCTTGGTTATCATGGTGGGAAGTAAAAATCCCCTAAGAGGCTGTGTTACCGCTCGTTTGCAACAGGAATGTAATTGTTCTTGTACTTGACAGTAACTGAATAGTCTCGCTGTATTTTTTTAACAAAGTTATTAAACCAGTTGATACTACAAAAGCATATTGTTATTGTGGTATATCATTTTATTTAAGTTTAACATACACATTTGCTCTTACTTTTCTTATTAGTTGTGATTCTTTTAGGACAGTGTGTCTAGTAAGGGTTAAGATAGCTATTGGAAAGGCTGAAAATAGGAGCCCTAAGTCAGCTAACAGGGTCTTCCTTTGTCTTTGTAGTTTCTGGAACAGGTTGTTTTCTCTCTGCATCCTGGGACATACAGGTCAGGATCAACCTTGGCGCAGTGCATTCAAACCAAGGGTTATAATCGTATTAAGATTAAGTAACCTTGATTAAAGTTTTGCATTTAGGCTTTAATAATTAATGTTTTACTTCATTCAAACTCAAATTTTTGTTTTCACACTCTGACCTGCATTTTCATAAATGTCTATTCATGCCATACCTGCTCCAGGGTTGGAGGCAACCACCAAAAAGGGATTCAGCTGAGATGAATGGAAGCCTTTCATTTCTCCATCAGGCCTTCCTTATTTCCTCATAAGCTCCCCTCCCTTCATGCTGTCCCCTGCTCACCTCCTCCCACTGGTTTTTTCTCCCCATCTTTTGGCCTCCCCACTGTGCCAAACTTACAAGTGTGTCTATTCATGACTTGCAGGAATTAACTTTCTTAATCCAGCATACACACATAGACATACATGCAACTACTCCCTGTCCTTAATGGTAGAAACAGAGGTACTCAACACTATATTTCCCTTACCACCAGTGGAGAAGGCAGTGCTCATGTGAAAGTCTTTGTTTTATGGTTTTAATTTGCTCATTGCTGAAACTAAATGAATAATTACTTGAAATAATTAATGAGTGTTTCAGCGATGGATAACAGGTGTTTTAGTTTAAACTTTTTTTTGTATACCTATTCTATGAATAACATCCTCATAACTATTGAGCAGTGGCAGTGGCAGTGGAAAATAGATATTTGTTTTTGTCTGTTTCAGGTTCTAATCATGCCAGTTTCTGTTTTATTACGTTTTTTGTACTCTTCAGACCCACTGGAAGTTACTTCCAGTCAATAGTGTAATTATACACAACCCTGTGCACGGCCTTTGTTACACTAAAGGTACGTTACCCTGGGGAAATCTGATCAACAGACTAATGTTGAGTCCTCTGGGGTTTGTTTTAGCCAACGATGCCATGTACGTCCAGGACATATGAGGAATTTAATAGAGGGAACAAAAATTACGCAAAATTCAAACAAAGTATCTTTGTGTACTGATTTTTCAAAGCACGCACTTTCACTTGCCATGCTGTAGCCTTTAGCCTGACCCCTTGATTTTATTCAGGCCCTATAGTGCCTTGTGGACATGAGGAGAGCAATGTGGATTTAGCATTTGGAAAAAAGATAGTGTGTGGCATGTTTTTTTTTCTGTCTCTGCTTGCTCTGCAGTACAGAGCTTTTTTTAACAGCAAATTTGATCTAACCAGCTGGTATTGATAATTGATATGAGGTCCATAAAGCCTGTGGTAACAGGTGATTAAAGAATAGGAATTTCAATCATTAATTTGGTATCACATTTACCGGAGGTGAATCATACATATAATTACATGTTTTTTATGTGTTAATGATATGTTTAAAACAGCTTGAGGAAGTAAAACAGTGCACATGACATCGAGAGAGAGCGTGATTGATTTCTATGGGGATTCTTAAGTGTCAGCTGTAGACCTTGACCCTGCCTCTGTCTTTACTTGTTGACCTTTGACACTGGTGTCATTAAGCCTTTGCACTGCACTGTCTCTGTTGTAGCCAGGAGGGGCATATTTTGGAGCTTTGCTCCAAGTTGCCAGGGAGTTTATGTTTTTTTTTTCTCCTCAGCGATTCACAATGGAGGATGGTGGTGTAACTCACCCCAGGTGTCTCCCAGCACAAAACAGCTTTTACTAAACCAGCTGCTCCCTCAAAATACCTGTCTGTCTATAGGCTCCTCTTTGTGTTTTTTTCTTCAGTCAACATTGTTTTCTCACTTATTTGTGTTGGATCTGTAAACTGGGCCTTGTCAGGCGTTGCAGTTGTACTTCCTCTCGGAAAGACAAGTTGATAACTCATTTAGGGAAAACATCTGTGTGTTATATACACCAGAATTTACCTCGACAAGCATAATGGCCTTTGGTTGATTCACAGAAGTGCCTGTGTATTTTAACACTCTGTCTGTAAAAATGTATTTCAGACATCAGATTTTACTTCTGAGCATCAGAAAAACCTAGAAAATGTGTCTTGTTTTTTCTCGTCTCATTTTCACAGACCAATATTAAGAGAATGTGTTTATCATAATTTCTTAATTGTGCTGATGTCAAGGTTTTAACTTTTGTTTCTCCAAAGCATATTTTAGTTCAGATGGGTGACTCTCAAACAGGGACTAATTAGAGCTGACTCCAGGCAGAGTTCAAGCATTCACTGTTGGTCTTAGGGTGACACATGAGGTAATACATGTCAACCTGACTCAGTGCAGGGCTTGATCTCTCTTTTTCTGTTTAGCCCCCGAACAGACACATACTTTTCTCTGCAGACATAGTAGACAGATATAAACACCATCTAGGTCTGTTTTGTCTTTTGTTGGAACAATATGGCTAAACCGTTGAAAGGATTGCGCAGGAGTAAATTTGTATTGTACAGCCATGTGAAAAACAAAGTACATCCTTTTACAATTCACAAGGTTTTAGATGTCAGAACGTAACAAAAAATGCAAAATACTTAAGCAGTGCCTTAAAATTCAAGTACACCCCACGATTAAGTCATGGAAATTAAGTAGGGTTTACCATTTTCATTCTGCTTCATAACTGTATGACTCACAACTTTAATATGAGTAAGGTTAAAAAAAATCGTCCATCTGCTTCTGTTTCCATAGCATACGTTAATTTGTTATTATCATTTTTTGACAAAAAACATACATTTGCATATTCACAATTTGTGTAACATCACAAAGAGCTTTCGGAGTGTTCAGACTGTCTGAGTATGTTGGGGTGAGCAGAGATGTGACTTAAATAATGTTCATGTGGGGCATAATAGCTAAGGTCTATCATTTGGACATTTACACAAAGAGAAAGTTTTTTTCCCACCCACACACACATTCAGGAACAACTCTGAGCCATAAAACATAAACACACATACTTATTAGTTACAAGTGGTGGCTTGCTGAAATTTCTCTTGTGTTTCATGCCAGTTATCTGTTCCGCCCACCAATGTATACTCTCCCATGTTCTCTTTGGATCAGGACTTTACCTGTGGGCTCAGGCATGTCTCTGTGCTCGTCTGCCCAACATCCCTCAACCAAAGACATGCCCCCTCAGTCCGCCTTCTTTGAACCATTATCAGCTGTCTCAGCCATGCATATAAAGACTCAAATACCAGTCTGCAAGAACCAAAGAAACAGCTGCATGCATTCACCCCCTTGTTTGCAGTCCCGCTGTGAGCTGTGTGCTTTGGGCTGAAGGATCAATGACTAAATAACACAGTTCTGGAATGGTGTCAAGAGTTGTGGTGTTTCAGTTCCAAAAACAAAGAAAACTTTGTTTGTATGACGTTTCCGTCCTCTGACTGTTAGTTTTTGACCTTGTCTGTTATTGGATTGGTTAAACCATATAATTCGCTGGCGACCCATCCTGTGTGTACCAATAACAAGCCCTCCTCTTAACCTAGAGTTGAAATGGGCTGGCATAGAAAATGTGTGGACGTAGTGAGTAGTTTAAAATATTTTGCATTTGACTATGAATGACACTGCAGCAGCTAACATTGATGAGTAAATCTCACATGAAATTGCCAAGAAAATACAGCCGACATGCTTTACAATCCAAACATCTGCTGGCTTTCACTATTGAGGTTACCTCTGTGCTGTATCACCCACAACCATTTCAATTATTGCTCTTTATGATGTATGTTCATTTGGTTTCCTGAGGTTAAAAACAGGAAAAAGGAAAACAGTAATTTCCAAAGCATGTTTAATAATATGCCTGGCTGCCTGCCAGACAACAAAGTGTGGGATCTAAGAGACTGCATCTGTAATTCCCAAGTTTAATTTATGCTTACCCTAATTCTGATTCTGTGAGTGAGTTAAAAAGATCAGGCATCTCCATCTTGTGTCTTGTTGGCTGATGATAATCCCATTTCACCAACTTTTAGTAGCCTAGAGGACTGTTTGTAGAAGTACTTTTGAGTGCAGATAGTTTTTGATTTCCTTATGTTAATTCACTTTTAAGCCGGTAGAAAATTCAATGTGAGTGGTATTTCTGTACACGCTCAAAAAAGAAAAGCATCCATTTGTATCTTTAGGGCTCCAAAGGTCAATGGTGGGTACCCTCAAATGCCCCGCTGATTTAATCCTGGTAGTTTAAACCTCATAAAGGCCATGGTTGTGCCTCTGGTGTCAATTTTGTACCTTATTTGCAAAGTGAAAAGGTCCCGTTTTCTGCATCCCAAATCAAGCTTCTCAAGTCAATTGAGAACTTAAACACATGGCTGACATAACATTTAGTCTCCTGGATGTAGTAAAGACCATTCTGTGCCTTCTTTTACTCTGTAAACAAGGACATGTCTGTGCTGTGATAGAGAGATTAGTATTTCATTCCATAGAGTCCAAATGGTGTCCATGTTAACCCATAGAAAAATTATGAAGCAGGTGTAACAAACAATACTGAAACATTTTATGTAAAATGGCCAAAATAAGCTGTAGAACATTACAGATCTTTAGCATTTGACGGTGGTATTTATCATTACTGTCTTAATGTGTTTTAAAGGACTCATTTTCACAGTTTTCTTAAAAAAAATGTATTTTAATTTTTTTTTAAAGTCTATATTTGTATGAAGCCAAAATGGTTGCACTGCCTCTGAAAACTTCACCAGTTAGAATGACAGCTATTACTTGACGATTCTTTCTTTGTTTGTTTTATGTTTTTCCTCAGAATCATCAAAAGACTTATATGTAATACGTACCACTTGTGAACATATGTACACATTTCAGGCCCCCAAAAAATACAGAAATATGTGTCAGGGTCCAGTTAGTAACTCTGTGAGGTATGTGATGGTTGTGTATGACTATAAGCTCGCCATATTACTGTGTTTCTATCTTCTGCAGGGAGACATCCAGCAGCTCCTGATTGTGGCTGATCCCAAAGCAGCGTACGACTACTGTGACCATTACAGCCCCGATTGTGACAAACCCCACAGCGATTCTCTGCAGGCCCAGGAGCCAGAGGAGGTCAGCCTGCCTGGGAGGGTGGGGGAAGTTCCACTAAGCAGCATTGGACCCCCCTGATCGACTTTTACTTTCATATGAAATAGATTTATTATAAAAAATGAGTTCAGAGCTTCGTATTTACCTGTGCATTGCACACTGCTTCCATTTATTTGACTCAGAGATACATTGGTCAGGTATTCTCTCATTGCTCTTTCATCTGTATCTGTAGTGGTGTCTGTTAATTTTATAATTTTATATATATGCTCACTTAAAATCAACACGGAAGTGGTGCACATTGAGCCACATCCCAATCACAATGAGTACACAGGTGTTTTTCATCAGCTGTCAGGTATGAAAATACCTGCATAAATGTGGTTGATTGGTGCAGTGATGGCAGATATGTGCAAACCACCTGTGAAAACTGTACTCTAACTCCAAAGTTGCATCGCAAGCAGCTGATAGCGTTGCCTATGCTCTTCTTCATATATTTTCACGTTCCATAACAATGCAGTACATAAAAGCTTATTAACCAGACTATTTTTATTTTTAACAGGCAATCCATTTAAACCAGTCCTATTAATAATCAATTTGCTTTTGAGTCAGCTTTAACAACTTAGACTCCTACAATTTTCCTAGAAAAATTTCTGTATCTTCATTTATTGATTTGTTAGTTATACATAACTTGATCACTAAACAGATTTTTGTCTTTGGATTTCCTTGATAAATAAGCTCTCTGCGGTCCTTATTGTTCAGAAGAGTGTGTTCCCCAAAACAGACCTCTGAGCTACAGCCAAACTTTAAGCATGTAATTTGCATGCTTTCAGTGAGAAAGTTTTATGACGAAAGCCTTTGCATCCAGCTGGTTAGTTGGTGTTAGACTTGCCTGCGTTGTTTTCCATTTCATGAGCTTTTTAAATGCCCCACCTGCTTATGTATTCATAGTTTAGGAGCCACAAAGCAGAACTCAGTGTTTCTTTTCATTTATTTTGCCACAGTAAGACCTTTTTCCAAAGAATCAACCCTTTTTATCCAGATTTTTCAAGTTTCCGATGACCGTTACTACCACCATTTGTACATAAAAACAGTAAAATTACTTGATTATACCTTTTGCCATATACCATTACACCATGACACGGTGTGAGTTTTACTATTTAAAATGGTTCATCCAGGTGAAGTTACAGTTGTAAAACTGTTTTAAAATATTTTGTATACAGTCGTCCTGATTCATGCATCAATGTTATATCACAAGAAATATGGATGGATGCTTTTTTTTAGACTAACCTTTTATTTCTTGCTTCTAGCATTGCAACAAGAAATGACAGACAATTATTTGACTAAACTAAAGTCATGCATCCTGAAGATGATGTGCACTGTATTCATCATCTTCTTGCTGATATTACACTCTGCGTTCTCAATGCTTCTGTAAACACTAAAGCCTTCTACTGTTTATCCTCTGCTTCTCTCTCTCTCTCTCTATCTCAACTTCTCCAGTACACCACTGATTTATATTACTCTCAGTACTATGATTACTCTGAGGGAGCAACTGACATCATTCCAACTGATGATTATTCTGAACCACAGGTAAATGAAGATGTGATGTATCTTTTGCCACCCTTCCCTCTTTCAGTTTTGTGTTGTCTCAGTGTCGTGTTTTTACGCGATCAGAGTTAGTCAGTATCAAAATCTTGGATTTTTTTTCTTTTGACGGGTAGCTCACTTAACACGAGTGTTAGGTGAAAGCCAAAAGTTTTACATGCAGCAGTGTAAACACGCACGCATCGTCAAGTCCAGTTTTTGTGTTTTGTTCTTTCTCCTCTAATGTTTCCTGCTTCAAGCGTGTTTCTGTGTGTTTGTTTGAAAGTGCCAAACATACACTATATTGCCAAAAGTATTTGCTCACCCATCCAAATGATCGGAATCAGGTGTTCCAATCACTTCCATGGCCACAGGTGTATAAATTCAAGCACCTAGGCATGCAGACTGTTTTTACAAACATTTGTGAAAGAATGGGTCGCTCTCAGGAGCTCAGTGAATTCCAGCGTGGAACTGTGATAGGATGCCACCTGTGCAACAAATCCAGTCGTGAAATTTCCTCGCTCCTAAATATTCCACAGTCAACTGTCAGCTGTATTATAAGAAAATGGAAGTGTTTGGGAACGACAGCAACTCAGCCACGAAGTGGTAGGCCACGTAAACTGACGGAGCGGGGTCAGCGGATGCTGACGCGCATAGTGCGAAGAGGTCGCCAACTTTCTGCAGAGTCAATCACTACAGACCTCCAAACTTCATGTGGCCTTCAGATTAGCTCAAGAACAGTGCGCAGAGAGCTTCATGGAATGGGTTTCCATGGTCGAGCAGCTGCATCCAAGCCATACATCACCAAGTGCAATGCAAAGCGTCGGATGCGGTGGTGTAAAGCACGCCGCCACTGGACTCTAGAGCAGTGGAGACGCGTTCTCTGGAGTGACGAATCGCGCTTCTCCATCTGGCAATCTGATGGACGGGTCTGGGTTTGGCGGTTGCCAGGAGAACGGTACTTGTCTGACTGCATTGTGCCAAGTGTAAAGTTTGGTGGAGGGGGGATTATGGTGTGGGGTTGTTTTTCAGGAGCTGGGCGTGGCCCCTTAGTTCCAGTGAAAGGAACTCTGAATGCTTCAGCATACCAAGACATTTTGGACAATTCCATGCTCCCAACTTTGTGGGAACAGTTTGGAGCTGGCCCCTTCCTCTTCCAACATGACTGTGCACCAGTGCACAAAGCAAGGTCCATAAAGACATGGATGACAGAGTCTGGTGTGGATGAACTTGACTGGCCTGCACAGAGTCCTGACCTCAACCCGATAGAACACCTTTGGGATGAATTAGAGCGGAGACTGAGAGCCAGGCCTTCTCGTCCAACATCAGTGTGCGACCTCACAAATGCGCTTCTGGAAGAATGGTCAAAAATTCCCATAAACACACTCCTAAACCTTGTGGACAGCCTTCCCAGAAGAGTTGAAGCTGTTCTAGCTGCAAAGGGTGGACCGACGTCATATTGAACCCTATGGATTAGGAACGGGATGTCACTTAAGCTCATATGTGAGTCAAGGCAGGTGAGCAAATACTTTTGGCAATATAGTGTATATATGTTCATAAGACCTTCAAATGTATCACACAACCCAATCCCCATTGTTGTACAGATCACTATCTGCTCAACTGGGATCAGTCTTTCTGTTGCAGCCTTTATAATCATGATCGTCAAATGTCATCTGATAGTTGTGCGCCAGTTACGGCGTGTGCTTTGAAGTCACTGTTTGTCTTGGTGTTCTTTGTCGCCATCACCTTTTTCCAGAGAGAGAAACATAGCATCACCATGACCAAGAGGAGGACCAGAAAGTCCCTAAGTAAAACTAAGGCCAAGCCCTTAAAATTCTTGGCTGCCAAAAAATCACCCACGAAAACGTATCTGTCTAAGAAGAAGCGACAGATGCATGGGTACCAGGCCACAGCGCCGGCACGTCCCAGGGGCAATTTTAGGGTAAACATTCATCCAGAAAAAAAAAAACAATAAAGTCAAATCCCATCAAGATCTTCCTGCCCTAAATTTTGAAAGGAAAATCTGTGATGGCAGACTTAGAGCCCACCCCCAACTCCGCCCTAACCTCTTCTGTGTAGAAAGTAGCAGAGTGTGTAGCCAGCTTGAGATGAAGTACCCTAGTTACCCTAGTAAATAACCTCCTGTCAGAGCCTTTGTGTTAACCCTGATTCTTCTTTCCTTTTTCTACATGACTCAGCTAAGCAATTTAGAGGGAAATTACAATACAGAAAATGACTACGGAACTGTAGATGGTACTCAGACTCAGTCTCCCTTTGCCACGTTTGGACCCAATGAGGTAACTATCTATGTAATTCTTTTCTACTCATATAAGCCACAGTATGGTGGTTTGGGATTTGTGAGTCAGGAATAATCTATCCAAGGAATCACCTGGTATGAGTTTACAAAGACAAAACCATTTGGTGCATTGGTGTGTCTTTTGACCCGCTTTAAGTTTGATAGATATGGCAGATTTGATGGACATGGGGAAAACTTTAGAAATGATCAGGGTGGCCTTAAGGATGTGCTTAAAAAATGATGCAGCACAAAGGTAATTTGTACCTATAGACTGCCACAGCTACCTCGCATTGGTTCTGCTGAGACACGATAAGCTATCATTACATTTAAAGGCATGAATGTCAGATTTTGTTGATCGAAGACTTTCTTTATCTTTAAACTATTGGAACATACAATTTGGAAAAAACACCGTAGCCCTGCTTTTTAAAATGATGTTTTTGCACTGTGCTGCGAAATCACTCCATCCTTCTCCTCAATGTCAAAGCTCATGAAGAAATGGGAGTTGGCTTGTCATTGGCTTTTACAGAGGATTAAAGGAGTGATTGCTTGAATCTGTCTCATCTCATACCTCTAACAGGATTTTGATTGAGCAGATAATCTACAAAATCGCACATGCCCCATTGTCCATCACACTAATGCTGAGTATTGAGAACTAGTTCTGCTGATAATCTTAAAAAGACCTATGATCAGCAAGGCTGAAATCTCCTCACAGCCCTCTGTGATCATGCTTTATCTACTGCACTTAATAACAAATTAAATGTGATTACACAAGCTGTATTTGAAAACTATTTTTTGCTGTGTGGACTTCCGCAAATAACAATTGTGTAATTACATCCAGTTTGTTGTGCTCTGAAGGTAATGCACCATTCCATATGGAATTTAGAGAAAGTGATTGTAATTGTAGTACCGGTGCCAGGAATATACAGTAGGCAAATTCAAAACATATTCATTAGATACATTTTCTGACCTTAAATTTCTGGTGTTATTTATCTGGCGGTACACGTACTACAATGTCAATAATAATTTGATAAGCCTCTCTTTTCTCACTGTATCAGTGACATATGGCTGCATGCTGAGAATGAAACGAAGGCTTTGGTAATTTCATGTCTTTACTGACAAGCACAACATCCAAACCGTTGACTCTTGTTTATGCTTTCATTTAGCAATGACGGTAATACTTTGACAATTTCATTTAGTCTTACTGAAGTATTCAGTGCATGATGCTTTAATCATGAACCAATGTTCCCAATATATAAATTCAGGACTTTTTCCTGCTTTCCTTTTTGATAAGTTTAAGTAAGTAATGAATAAAGTGAAAAAAATGGTAAAGGTGTCACCGTTTTGCTAAACATGCTGAATAGATTTAAAGTTTGCTTTTATAACATCTTTCAATGAATTATTTGCCATAGCTGCTTAAACTAACATCCCTGTTTCCTTGGTTGCTCACCATCGCCTCCTACCTCTTCCATTGGGGAACATCTGGAGGCTGTGGAGGAGGATTATGTCAGTGAAGTCCTCACTGATACTACTCCCATTGCTCCAGAACCCTCCACTGTTCCTGAAACAGTGGATAACTTGGAGACTGGCGCAGAAGCGTATGACTTTAAGGAGTATGACCTGAAGGAGTTTGACAGGTTGTATGATTATGGTACATATGATGAGTATGGAATTGCCCCATCCAAAACCCCAGCAGCCTACGATGATGCGGTTGGGCCTGGGGTTGCTGCTGAAACCGACGTTTCTGAGAGTACTGTAAGTATCACACCCTGACTTGTTGACGGAAGGGGGTGTGCATGAACAGAATGGGTCAGGGCCTCACTCTGTCTCTCAGTGCATGTCCTTGTAGTAGCTTGGGATGGGAAATGTGTCATTGACAGGTTGATTTATTGATATTTATTTACTGAATTTCATTGGTGTCATACTGAAGACTCATCGACAGAGAGCTACAACAGAGGACAGTGCATGGTCCATGTTTTATTGATTACTTTCATATCTTCATACAGAAATGTCTCTTTTAATTCATTCACATACATTCTATCCATGGGTGTTGGTCCAACATACCCCCCCCCCCCCCCACCACTCCCTTCCAACTCCCCTCTCAGCAGTTTTGAAAAAGGATCTTTCCCTATCCTACTCTGCTAACAAGTAGCTTGTCTGTTACATTTACCTTCCTTTGTTCACTCCATTATTCAATAAATCATAAAGTGCTGTCTTCACAGTATGTACACACACATTGGCAGGCACAACCACATACAGGAAGACACTTGTAATGTTGTAGGAGATTGAATCATTTCTCTGTCTGCCCTGTGTCTGTCCTGTGCTGAGTGTAAAAGATAAGATAAGATAAGATAAGATAGATTACACAAAAAAGCCCTCCTAATGCATCACATGGAACCCCTTCTACACACAACCAAAGTATTTTACCACTGATGTAACCTTCATGCAGTCACTGTTTAGAGCGTAACACAAAGAACAGAAGCAAACATTTTACTTGCCACCATGTTTATGATATAATGACACTATTGCTCCATTTCAAGCAAGTAGATTAGAGGTCTGTTCTTGCTCCGTAGGACTAACATTTTATCCTGTTCAATAATGTGTTCCGTCCTTAAGCCCCTGCCTGTCTGTGGGATAGAGTGGTAGTTATAGTATGTGGTACTCTGATACTGTGATAAATTCAAGCATTCTTATGAATAGGTTTTACTCTCTCCTCAGTCATGATTTGGAGTATAACAGCTGTGAATGCCACCTTCTTTCTCGAATCTTAACTTCAGGTTCAGGGTGGTGAAGCAGCCTTTGGCCAGAAGGGTGAAAAGGGGGAACCGGCTGTGATTGAACCTGTAAGAGACAAAAATGTCTGTCAGTTATTAAAGATATTAAGTGTAGTACAGTTCTTTTCTTTCCTTGAGTTATTGTTAAATGAAACTATGTGAACACCGAAACAAGTTATAAGCAACCACTTGACACGTAGCCCATTTGTGTAAATTTTTTGTAGAATTTGCAGCCTCAGACTCGGCTTGTTTACACTGATGCCACTGCATGGAAAATAGTTTGTGATATGAAATAATGCTTTTCTGTTTCCAAAGGGCATGCTGATTGAAGGACCCCCAGGACCACCCGGCCCAGCCGTGAGTATACGTTGGAGAAAAAGAGGCATATTATCTTCAGAATTGAATGACCAGACATTTAGAAAGTTGCTGACTTGCTGAATTTTGAATTTCTAGGGTCTTCCAGGACCTTCGGGCCTACAGGGACCCCCAGGTACTGCTGGAGATCCTGGTGACAGAGTAAGTTGACAAACTTTGTCCCCAAACTATATGTAGACATTTAGTCATTTTATGACAGTAATTGAATAGAATGGAGGATGCACCTTCTTGTCTTTGTGGGATTTATACTCCTGAACAGACATAGAAGAAGACTAGTGAAAGAATGTTGTCTGAAGTTGATTTATAACAGAATAACAGATAGTAATAAAAGAAAGAACAACAATGGACCAGTGGTCCGCTAACCGATAAGAAAGCTTCACATTTTGACCTTTTAAAAACGGGAGGATGAACGAAATTCATTCAATGATATTTAATTTATCTAACATTCAAGTTGCTAATAATAAATTTAAGTTTTTGTCAGTTAAGTTCGTGTTAATACTAGTTATGTTTTGATAAGAAATATTGCCAGTGACTTTGAAAAAGTTAAAGAGATTTTGTATGTCCGATGTAAAATGCCATGCAAAATATGCTGCATGTTGGGACCCCTTTTTTTTCATGTGGTTCTTCAAAACATATCGTGCTGGAGACAAGTATTGCTATTTCAACATTACAGCTAATATGAACCAGGGTTTTAAAAACTTTTGTGCTCTGCAACTATTACACATCTCTGTGGATTATTAGAATTGATGCTGACAAACATTCATTATTCATGCCATGATTTTTTTTGTGTCTCTGTTACCAATAAGAGCAAATAATCTCATAAATCAGATTATGTATGTGTTTTTTTTCTATTTCATTGTGAACTGATCAGTTTGCAGATGGGCCTGCATTTCTAAAGTGTTTGATAAGTCATTATCACAAATATACTGAGTCAGAAATTGGTTAAAGGTAACTGAGAGGGAAACATTCTACTTCGACACAGTGCTTACGTGGTGGATTAAAAAGCCACAGAAGAAATTATTTGTTGATTAGTAAATTTTTTAAAATAATTTTGATTATTTGATACATATATTTGATACATAGCAAAAAGAAAAAATGCTCTCAATATCCTCATTGTTTTTGTAATAATTGTAAACCTTGGTGGTGTCTCTTAATTTTAGGGTCCTCCCGGTCGCGCTGGTCTGCCTGGTGCTGATGGGTTACCAGGACCTCCGGGTACCATGCTTATGTTGCCAGTAAGATGACATATAGTTTAAAAATGACATTCCCCACCATCTGGGGGAGGGGGGGGTATCTTACATTATTCCTATAATAATGTAAGGCTATAAAGATGATAAACCAAATGAGTCAAACCTGTGTCACACAGTTCCGTTTTGGTGGGGATGGTGAGAAGGGTCCCGTGGTGTCGGCCCAGGAAGCTCAAGCACAGGCCATCCTTTCCCAGGCCAGAGTAAGTTGACATGACACTTTAGGTCTACAAACATACTCATTCACTTCACTTTTTTTTCTACTCAGCTATAGGAGAAAAGACAGGGGAAGGTTTTGTCAGGAGGGTAGCAGGGGGTTGTCCTGTGTTTTGTTGGCTTTGCAATGCCAAAAGGAAACATGCCGAGAAAGCCGAAGAGCATCCACTCAGAAAGGAACAGAAACAAGACACCAATAAAAATCGTTTAGTGGCTTTATCGGCGGGTGGGCTGTGCCAAGAAGGGACATTTCTATAATGTTGTGCTGTTTGTGTCCCACCCAAGAAAATTAAAATGTGATTATTGATTTGTAATTTATGTGACAACAAAAATGAATGGGGCTAATATAAGAACCAAAATGGACAGAATGCATCATATATTGTATACAGAGTTAACTATTCAGTTTTATGGGTATGATTATTTTTTGGAAATATCAGCAGAAGTAAGAATGTGTGCATTGTATGTGGAATTTTAGAATATATGTTAAATATTCCAACAAAGACTAACGCTGTCTATGTTGAATATCTCAAGTATTCCTCACTCCTATGGGATGACAAATTATTTTTAAAAAGTTTAAAAAGTTTTTATCTTCAAATGCTCATAAGAGAGATATACCATTTAAAAAGAAAGAGAGAACAAAGAACAGAAACATGCTGCTACTTATAAAGTGAAACTCGACAATGGATTAATGGCACTGTGTTTCATTCTTGACAGTTATTTGCTGCATATACTTCATGGTCATAGATGCTTAGTTGCTTTTCTGAATATTAGAATAATATTTTTCTTTAGTGGAGTCTGATTTTCTCTGGATTTCTGCCCCTCAGCTGGCTATGAGGGGACCCCCTGGGCCGATGGGTTTGACTGGCAGATCCGGGCCAGTGGTGAGTCCATATAGTTTGTATAGTTATATATACAGTAGAAATGTATAGTTTATGTTCTACTGCTTTCATTATTCATACTCATTTAAAATCAAAAGCAAATCAAGCATTAAAAGAACTGATTGCGAGCTTGAAAATGTCATCAGTGGACACACTGTTGGTTGTTTTTCCCCAGCCAAGCCCCCCTCTTTTTTTCCCCATGGGCTTGTTGATATATGATCCAGTATTTATCTCCAAACCCCGCAAAATACAAAGAAAAGTACACTCTGTCAAATTTACTCTTCATCGACCAAGTGCATGTCCTATACATTATGCTGAGATAATGGCAACAGTGGAGCAGATAAGAGATTTTTTGTAGATTAGTAACATGAATTATTCCCAGTGTATATCAGGAGCCAATATTTTTTTACACAAATGAACGCCCATATTTTTGCTAACTAAACAAAAATCATGGATGGATGAAACCTCCGAAGCATTTGCCACACATAGCTCTTCATCACCATCTGCTGTTTACTTTGTGTATTTTTCCCCATGCAAACTGTGAGTTTAACATTTTAAATAATGTATCTGCCGAAATTGAGGAATGTTCTGTGTGTTTTCTGTCTTTAGGGTCCACCTGGTGCTACTGGACTGAAAGGTGAAGGTGGTGATCATGGTCCTCAGGTGAATGAGAACAGATCCGAAGGAGTGCCTCTGACAGCCTTATAATAGCCTATAATTCTTGCTCTAAATGTCTCTAAATGGTCTTCCTATGTCTTACAGGGTCCTCGTGGCATCCAAGGGCCTCCAGGACAGCCTGGCAAAGCTGGAAAAAGGGTGCGTGAACTCACTCACCCCTAACACTCACGCAGCACTTTAAAAGTGTTTGTTGTTGTTTTTTTTTGTTTGCACTTGTGGACACTCCTTACACACAGAGAGGATTGTATTCACTCCAACAAGCAATTGCTTGATATGTGCTTAAAGGCCTGTGCTGCCTCCAATCCTCGGATCAATGGCTGGGCAGATAATCTGTCTGAAAATGCCAAAAAAGGAAGCCAGGGTGTGGTCTAACAAGGCCAAACATGTTGACCTAATTGGATCCAATTGAACATAAACCAACCATGGGCAAATTAGTAATGCCAGGATAATGAAATGTCCAGCTCTGAGCCAATTTGAAGGAATGATAGATTGTAAACTAGGAAATCTAATGAAAAAAAGCAGTAAATAAGCGGAGAAAGATTTAGATGTGCACGTCCCATCAAATCAGAGCAGCATTTTAAAATTTATGTTATGTTTTTTTAAGTTATTTCATTCCCCTGGTGTTATAACATGGTGCGTACAGGCTTTGTTGATCCCACTCACCCCAAGTGCACCATCCATCCATCCATCCATCCATCCATCCATCCATCCATCCATCCA